TAATTCAACGGCTAGCTTTCCTATTACTTCTGTTGGCTCCTTGGTCGAAATTGGTTTAAATGTTCCACAACATCATGTTCTTGAAAACTCAAATAAAGCATTAAGATCAAATAACTTGAACAAGTGTTACTTAGCTCTAATATCTAATAAACCAACAAAACGAAGACCTAAGGAAAAACGGGATAGGGATAATGAATCCTAAATAAACTTAAAATAAAATAAATATCCTAAAACGCAAAAACAGAATAAATAAAAAGGAAAACACTTAGGTTGTCGATCAAGAAGCGCTTCTTTAACTTGACTTAACCAAATTGTCTACATTGGATCTTCAGGTGGCACGTATCTCATGTTTCTAAACTTTATCCTTGATTTTGTATTCTTCTTCACTATAGCTTGGAATATAGAATTAGATGGCTTTAACTCTGGTAGAGCCTTCAAAAACCTCTTTTGGTTTGACATTATTTGGAGGTTTTCTAGGCTTTTCCACATAGCTCTCATTTTTGTCAAGTGGATGGGCTTGATGAACCAATAGGAAGTCAACTATTTCATTGGTTCCTGAGTATTAACCAGTAAGAGATGTATTCCTTGTTGAATAACTGGTAGTCATGTACTGCACTAGAGGGTCATAGAATAAATTCATTTTTTCTCTATTACCTACAACTGTTTCGACTGATTGGATCATATCGCAAGTGTCAGCTTTTTTTAGAGGTTTTTTTGCTTGATAGATGTTAAAATTTACGTTCTCATCATTAACCCCCAATGTTAACGTTCCTTTGTGTACATCAATTAATGCTCTTTCGTAGCCAGAAAAGATCTGCCTAAAATGATTGGAATATATCGGTCTTCTTCCATATCTAATAAGATAAAATATGCGGGGTAATTGAACTTATCTACTTCACCAAGACGTCTTCAATAATCCCTCTTGGATGCTTTATGGAGCGATCAACCAGTTGCAATGATATTATGATTGGTTTGGCCTCTCAAATCCCTAGTTTTCTGTACAAAGACAACGGCATTAAATTTATGCTTGCACCAAGCTGGAATAAAGTATGTTCAAAATATTTATCTCCTATGGTACAAGATAT